GTAAATTACTCTTTCTAACTCTCTGACAATTAATGCCACACTATACACAACGATTTTAAGTGACGTTGACTGCAACTGGCACAATTCTCAGAGAGGATGAAATCACACATTGTTACTGCCTAATTAAGTATAGAGAGAAAAGAATGCTTCGTGTTTTTTTTTTTCGGGTAAATTTTTCTCAATTTCCCTTTTTTCCTCGTAAAAACATTGACAATTTTCCTTTTGTACAATCTTTTGTTCCAACTGTTTAGGTTATGTGGATGTGAAAAATTATTCTCAGAAAATAATTCTTTAGGTTATAAATTTTTGAATACATAATTGAAAACGCACATTTGCTCCCAAGGCTGATTATAGATTCGCGTTCGTTCCGGATATCGAGTTTCTTCTTCTTCTTCTTCTTCTCTTCTTCTGACATGCCCTCGTCAGATAACATGTGCTCAACTTTCATAAGGTCTGCTCTTTAACGAGGTCTTTTACAGTACCGGATGTCCGGTGACACTAGTTTTTTTTTTTTAAGCAGAAAATGTTTCAATATTTTTGTGTCTAGAAAGAGCGTATTTAGAAACAAATTAGTTTTCATTCATTCCACAGTCTCGTGGGCAAAATCACAGCTATTGGTTGTCCAATAAAAAATTCTAAAGAAATGATTCTTATGCATATTAGGCAGTTTGAAGACAACATTTTTTCTGTTCATTCATACAAATAGTTGATAAATTTACATATCCTTACTCAATATGTGTGGGTATTTTATTTTCAATGGGTTGAAAAGCAAATAATCAAAAATCTATTGACCTTATCTCATTGATTTCGAAATGGGTCAAGTGTTCTTAGTTTTTCTGTATTATATCTTTCTTTCAATCAGGTTTTATTGAAGAAACGTTTTCGATTTTAGAAAACCGGATTAGGTCACACAATTTGAATTCTATTATTACAGAAATTTGACTTCTTATTGTTCTAAATTCTATGTTTTAAAAATAATAACAGTCGCGATGAACCATAATCGTGGTTATGCCACAATGAATGCATAACAAATGTATCGTGACATCGGAATTTCACAAAAAGAAAATGTACAAAAATTTTATCGGTACAAAATTATACATATAGAATCGTTGCGTGCCTTTCTTGAAATTAAATTCTTTAGTAGTGTAATAAGAGAGATGTCGACGCATGTAAAATGTAATGCATGGAATTTTACTTTAAAATGCTTTTAAAATCTTAAGCAATATATTTGGGAATTTGTTTCCTGTTATAAAAAAAAAAACTTGACAAAGAAAACATTCGCACAATCCAATTTTTAAATTATGCACGAACGTCCGTCATCTTTTTTTTTTTTTTTTTTTTTTTTCTCTTTACAACATTCTCGAGGCATGACGCGCTATGAAGGTTTATCACACCCACGCACTCTTGTTAGTTTCTTTCCAAATTCTGATAATGTGGGTTTTTGTAAATAATTTACTTCAGTTTTAGGGTCTATTTTCTTTTGATGCTTAAAGAAAGTTTTAGTATTTAAAATGGGAAAAATGGTAAATGATGTAAATGTGACAGACACACCTCCTTGGCGATAAAATTTTATATATACTATAGAAAATAATATAAGAGTTGCCTCATTGAGTTTTGCATGGTCATACAACAAAGAGATCCACTGAGAGAAGATTTTTTTGGCAGCTGCTCGTTGGCTTTGTGCTTATTTCCGAACTGACCTGCTTAGCTGGTGTATGTTATACCTGTTTCGAAGAGTTCTGGGAGCTCGTTGCTTATTTTCAAGTATATTTGCACCGCGCGTCTTGGATACACAATTCCCCCTTAAGAGAGGTTCACCTTATATTCACGAAATATCGCCTAAACAATATTTGAGAATTTTTCTTTCCCATGAAATCAGTGTGAGAATTTAGGTTTCCTCTTTTTCACTTCAAGTATTGAGGTTTACTTATTATTGTTTTAAATAGCTTGATAAAAATCTTTATTTTGTTTAAAAAAATAACAATATTCGGCTTTGTACAATTTTCATAGGTTTGTTTTTAGTAAAAACCAGAACTTTTGCATACATACTTTATTTAATTTATGTTTGTGATTCTTTTGAAATAGATCCGAGATATATTAAAATCATGAAACTATCAAAGGTCAGAATGTCATTAACCTCATCCTTAAGATGCAAAAACGTACACGCGATACCGTTGGCACGAGTTTTGATGCACCTGCCATTTTGTTTGAGAAGACCTCGCGGTAGCTGCATTCCTTTTCGCTTTGGGAATTAAAATAAAATCTTTTGTTATTGAAATTCTAATATAGAAAAACGGAAGGAAAATTTTTTCTCATTTTAAAATTGAATTCTCTTTGCGATATTATGAAAGAAAACAAAAAATGAATCTTAACTTTCTGAAAAGTGCGGTTCCTTTTTGAGATGTTATATGAGATTCGCGGTTTTAAAGCATAAAGTAGTTAAGACGGAAGTTACATAATAATCTAGCGCCTAGCGGTACTCGTGGTGAGAGGAGCCCATCCGGCACGTCATAATAACTTAACCCGTGTGGTTGAAAAGTAATAGTACTGAGGGAATAGAAAAAAAAAATGAAGATGCAAAAAAAGTTTAGTTTGTGGGCCCTTGGCAGGTTGTTATGTCTATAATACATATATACTATGTTACAAATGAGAATCGTTTGTGGTTAATGCAAAGTGTAGCCTGATTAGTTGAGGTTGTAACACCATTTTATTTCTTATAGAAGAGATTTTAATTATCGGTTTTGATATTTCTTTATAATTTGTCAAATTGAATTTTATTATTGAGTTGATCGAACTATAACATTAGTCAATTCGCGATCGCTTAAGGGAAACAAGTGAAGGTACAAGTTAATGGACCATGTTCTAGCAAGTAACGGGTAATAAAATAAGGCAGTAACGAGTAACAATATAGGAGAATAAATCTTTTGAACGACGAATGCAAGAGTAAAGGGTGTAGAAAAAGAAAAAGTGTCAGTCGTTAAAGGTATTTTAGTGACAAAAGAGAATTTTCTCTCGAACAATTTTTAATCGAAAATTAATCAAAATTTTACTGGTTTTATATCTTCATCAAAAAAATTTTTTTTTTTCTTAAAAATACGGGTTTTCTTTGACTTTTTCTCCTTGTACTATTTCTAGGAATAAATTATAGTGTATCGGGAAGTCTATTGTTTCAAAAAGAAGAAGAATAGTAAATCTAGTCTGTGGAGAAAATGAGTCGAAGTTTTGTAGCCAATTTCCTGTCTTCTGCTTTTTCAAAGTTCTGGAGTCTTCCGGTTGAACAGATGAAATGATTTACACAGTCTTGTTATACTGCGAGTGAAAGAGAGAGAGAGAGAGAAGAATGTCTTTCAAGTTCAGTGTTGATTTCATCTAGAAATAATTATCTTTTGATGTTTAAAATTAGATCAAAAAAGAAATTTTCTATTTAGAAAAATTAATTTTTAGATTAGAGTATACCTTTTATATGGATTTGTTTGGTTTTTTTTTTTTTTTTTTTTTTTGACGCATATCAAAAATAAATTGCACATAGCAGTGTCTGACCTCGCTGTTAGACATTTGTCTTTTGTGTTATACACTAGTGGGATAGTACATCATCCGTTTAGCGTTTTCAAAGGTCTCTTTAAATTCAACGTCTACGTTACGTAATATGCGCAAAAAGTAAAGTAAACAAATTTTAAACAGACAAAATTTTCAGATTCACACATCCGGCAGATGGTATTATATATATTTTTCATAAATAAACTTTGTTTTTTCTAATATAAACTATTAATTTTAACTAGTAACAAAATCGCACTGATTGTATAATTAAGAAATTATATAAATATATACTATATATGGTTGAATTATGATCATTTCCAGTAAATTAGACAGATGAAAATGAATAATATTAGGTATCTTGTATTAAATTACACTTTTGTAATTCTAAGCCTGATAATCAATTTTTATATTGATTTCAAAAACGTTTATGTCATTCCCAGGTGTGAACTTACAAGTTTCCTTGCGCAATTTATATCTAATAGATATTACAAAATAAAGAGATATATAAATTTTACTTGAATGTAAAGTAACATGCAGGTTTTCGCATATATTTATTTATTCGAGTCATATTTACCCGGGTAGAGTAAAACTCACAGGTGTTCAGATTGATTCTGCTTCTTTTAGGAAAATAAAACCTGTTACCACTGCGGCAACTTCAAAAACAGGTTTTCTTCAACGAAAAAAAAATCCTCAAAGAACCCGGAAAAGTAAAAAGTCAATTTTAAAAATTAGAGAAATAACAGTTTTCCTGCTTTAGGAGTATTTTTCTTTAGGTAAAAAAAATCCCCCCCCCCTTTAATTTACGAGAGTGTTCTGATTAAGACACCGTTGACTGATCACGATAGTAAATAAATTTTAGATATCTAGCGGATTAGAGAGATTATTTTTATTTTTTGGAATGATCATAAAATGCAGGAAATAAATTCCAAAAGGCGTGAATTCCTTTTTTTTCACATATATAGACGAAACTTGGCGATATAGGAGTAATATAGAAACAATACATATATATATATACATCTGTAACAACAAAGGAAACGGTTGGCAAGCTTCAAAGCGAATGAACGCTCGACCTACTTGTTTCTCTTGTAATGCACCAGGGACTCCATCAAAGACGATGTGTTTCCTGTCTTTCATTGACTAAATCGCCACGCCGGAACGTCCCACCTGGATCCTTAATTTCTTGAGAGAAAGAGAAAAACTGATATAATTTTCGAAAAAAGAAAACAATTTTCTTCTTGAGCGCAGATGTCTCTTGAATTCCTTAAACGAATAGGGGAATAAAAGAAATTATAGTTGTTTAAAATACAGTTTTTCTGATTTAATAAACATTGGATCTGTAAATGAATATATTTGATTATATTGTGTGTTAGGTTATGTTACGTTATTTTATGATTATGATGATTGTATTTTGGATGTTACAATGTTTTGATGATTCTAATGATGATTTTTTCTTTTTGTTGCAGGTTCGTTTCTAGTCTTGATGATCAGTTCTTAATTTAAAATTCGTAAGTAACATTCATTTATTCTGCATGTTCTGAACGTACAAATGACCGGAAAATTTGTTTCTTGGTCCATTTATTACATAGGTCGACAAAATTTTGTCCCACTTTTCCGAATTATTTTTACGTGTAGAAATACGTTTTTTGACACATATTTGAGGTTATTCAAGAGATTATTTTTTTTCTTCAAAAAGGTCGTTGCAGCATCTGAAAGTACTATTCTTCTGCTTTAAATTGCATTTTGATACTTTAAAAAATCTTTATTTAGTCCTGAGTTATCGTCATTTGAATTTTCTGTATCTGATACTACACAAAATTTACCAAACTCAGAAAATTCAAATGACGATAACTCAGAACCAAATAAAGATTTTTCAAACAAAATGCATTTTAAAGGGGAAGAATAGTACTTTCAGATGCTGCAACGACCTTTTTGAAAAAAAAAATTATCTCTTTATATTAAACATGATCTCAAATATGCTCAATTTTGAAGTCAGATTCTGACCCTAAATATGAATTAAACGAAGTTTTGAATATTATTAATATTTTTTCTGTAATATAATATTTCTACAATAATAGAGTGTAATACTATTCACAACAATCAAAAATTTGAATTTCTTTTCTTTATAGTTTATGAAGAACATTTTATTTCTTATTACTCTCTAAATCTGAATCAGTCATATTTTACTGATTAGCAGTGGAAATCTACTAATTGCCATAGCGAGAATTGAGCAACTGACAATTAGTAGAAATTTACTGATTCAATTAGTAAAATATCAATTACTGATTGAATCAGTAATATAAATATATGGCGGCGGTCACAAAATCTACTGATTTAATAGTTAATTTTAAAGGTTATTACAAATTACTGATTTACATAAGTTATTTTCTATTGCTTGCATATTCACTAATTATATTAGTAAATTTCAAAAAATAACTGAATCTTCAGTTAAAATGAAAAGTACTGATTGAATTAGTAAAATTTCTACTGATTCAGATTTAGAGAGAGTACACATGGAAAGTGTAATATTGCGTATTATTTAATAATATTGAATATACAGAAAGTGTTGGTGTATTAAAATACAAAATTGAATGCCGATTAAATTCCAAATAGGTCATTATAATTTTCATGTTCGAAACAAGAAAGATCAATATTATTAAAATATATTTGAAAATTTAAAATGTTATCGATAAGTGGATGAAATGCGCATGCACGCACGCAAAGCAATTGAAATCTGATATAACTGTTAATTATTTTCCAAGTGACCTACGTATTTGTAGGAGCTACACCTGCACACTCAGGTTTCTTTAATTAAATCGCACCAGAGGGAAAGAGAGAGAGAGAGAGATAGAAAGATATTCGCGTCAAGTGAATCGAACGAGATTACGAAAGATTTAACATAGATATTGCAGCTCTAATCCGCTAAAGTCTCTGGCAAATGTGTATTATATTTATATGAGTATATACCGCGCCGTTAAATATGATAATTCTGAAAATGTTGTGGGTTGTGCGCACTATCTTTATATATTCATTATATTAAGTACCGTTGTCGCGTCAAGTGACAGAAATGTTAATGATCCATTCAGTTATATTTTTTTCTAATACCTCTCTATATATTGATTAATTATTATTTTTATTTGTAAACAAAGTCGTTGATATTTTTTTACGATAAATCAAAATTTCCAGAATTTTTTTCTTTTCCAAGTTAGATTAGACTTCTTTTACTTCTGTATAGGAAAAAGTATATTTCATGAAGGAAACTTGTTTTAGAAAATTATTTTATCTTGGAAAATAAAATTTATAGCAACAAAAAAATTCTTGTATTACAAAATGGCTTATATTATCTTGTGAATAATTTCGATTCTCTTTTGTATTGCAAAAAAAAAGGGATATTTATTGTGAGACAATTGAGGACAGCATGTTTATGTGACTCCGTTATAATTATTGTCGTTGATATAAGACGGTCGGTCGCGTTCCGCTCCATCTTCCAAGGACAAAGGACAAACTTCACTTTTGCTTTTCCACTATATATATATATACTCTCACTTTATAAGACTTCTCTCGATCGGGAATTTATATATAAATCTTTTCCTCTCTTGTGAGAGAGACATGCCAGATGAGATAGTCCTTGACAGTGAGATGGTCCAGGAACGTTTCTGTTCACGTCCTTGAAATAAACGATATCTTTCTAAATCGGAAATATAATTTGCTGCGCATGCAATCCTTTCACTATTATATAGTGACTGGCAAAAAAAATTGTTGGAAAAAATTATTTATACTCGATTGTTAATCTTGTTTTTAATTTAAAGAGTTAAAAAGAAATAAAAATATTGATGCTGCAAAAAAAAGTAAAATTTTATTTTGTGATTATAGGAGAAAAAAATTTTGGTTAGTAAATCAGTTAATTATTATTAAAACCGTTTTTTTTTTTTTTTTTTTTTTTGTTCCTCTTTTAAGCTTCTTTAAGCAACGGTAGCAAGTCGAATTCCGTTATATATAGTTTACCTACTACTGCGTTCATACGCCATCGAAGTGTAGCAACATTTTCATATTGCGAGAAAAGGAAATGATAGAGAGAAAATTGCTCAGGGGAAATAAACACGCTTCTTTTGCGTTGTTTTTTTTTTCTCAATGTGTTGGTGCGCGAGAACAACACCACGACGTTCGAAATTAGAAAACAACTCTTTTTTTTTTCTTGCGCATTTTATCTTTCGTACATCCTCTATAAAATCTAGATTCTAACGTGTTTCGTTTTCAGATATGAAAAAAAGAAACAGAAAAGAAATGGAAATTTTCTTGAGAGTACTCCCACACACAATTTTCAATGCTTTTTTTTTTGTTAAAATCTTCGCAAATAATTCTAGGTACAAAAAAATGGTTTTTTTTTATTTATTTTTTTAATTTAATTAATTTTTTTTATTTAATTTATTCATAATTTTATTTGTTGAATCATTTTTAATTTAGAAAATAATTATGAAATTATTGTCTTATTTTTCTTTCCTTTTTTGAGAAAGTGTACTTTTAAAAATAATAGTCAAGGTATGTTCCCTTTTTTTAACGATTAAAAATAAACAGCCGTCAGCTGTTTTGCTCGTAAAATAGCCTCAACATCGTAGTTTTCATCGCGCGTTTGAAACGTTTCTCCAGTGAATATATATATATATATATATGCAAGATGTAGAACGACAGGTGCATTTTCTGTACCAAGCTTAATTAGAGAAGGACAAAGAAGCAAAAGAAAAAAAAATATATATAGAAGTTGTAGTAACGTAGTAAAACTGAGATAGCAATTTACATAAAGTCGTCCTGACTTGAGGAGAAGCCAAGGTCGAAGAAAGCCGAAGTGTGGCACCTACATAAATTTCTGGGTTTTGTGTTTATTATGTAAATTTCCCTTTAAACTGGCGTCAACTTGCAAAAAAAAAAACAGAATTTCATTCATTTTTTTTCGACTAAAAAAAAAACCTAATAATTTTTCTTCAGACGGAAGAAAATCTAGTTTAATTTTTAAGAAAGTGAAATTATAATGTGGAAATTAGAAAAAGAAATATATTTATTCTTTCAATGGAAAAAAAAATTTATGAAAATTTATTTTCGATGAAAAGATAATATATAAATATTAATATCATATTGAAATTAATTACCTTTTTTATTACTATTGTTCATTGTTTTATTTTGTTACTTTTTTTCTATGGTTATTAAATTACTTTCTCGGGTAAAAAATGGGGGAGAATAAAAATATTGTTGGAATTGAAATTAATGAATTATTATTAATTAATAGGTATTAATTAATTAAGCGCGGCTTTTTTTTGGGACACTATTATAAACGAAATGTATCTCAAGCATGAGTGTTATATATATATATATATATATGTGGTTAGATCACGTGGAGAATCGCCAAAAAGGGATACTCAAATGAGCCGACTACCTGACACCTCTGATCTATATTTACAGGGAGAACGACCGATGGACTATGCGATCGATCGTATGCTGCCAAGTACTTTCTTGGCCCCAAATGACTACTAGCTCTGATCAAATCCACTTTGACAAAATTATACATATCAAAACAAAATCATCATTACACTATAAAAAAAAAAAAAAATTATTTGATTCAAATACTCGATTACTTGACTATTATCAAATAAATATTTATTTGTATCAAATAATTATTATTCGAGCCAATTAAATTGTATTTGTTTCAAATACAAAAATTATTCGTTCAATTACAATTTATTTAATTCAAATAAAAATTTATTTGGTTCAAGTAAATATTTATTTGATAATAGTCAAGTATTTGAATCAAATAAACTTTTTTTAGTGTATAGATTCCATAAGTTTCATTAATTTTTTTCTGTACATGGAAAAAATAATTAATTTTAATTTTTTATTGTTTTCTAAACATTTTCTTATAGGATAAGTGCAATATTACTACCGATGCCCCAATTACTACGATTTCTATAAAATTAGTAAAACTTACTAATTGAGAAAAAAATATATTTTCAAAATAAATTATTTTAACTTTTCTCCGTTTTATTTATATATATATAAAATATGAAAAGTGGAAAATTAATGTAGATTGGGTGAAATTTCCCTTGATCTTTGATCTTGTGTATAGACTGTGAACAATTCTTGTTTTCCCATCGTTAAATATCATGTGTTTCAATCGGTTCGTAATGATCATTTATAGGTGCGAGGACGTGTTTTAAATCACTCTCTTCTCTTGAAAAGATATATATCGAATTAGCATACATGTGTGATTTATGTCGAGTTAGATTCTCAGCCAAAACCGCATCTTCACATTATGTACATTAGCAAAAAGAAACATATGGTAATCACAACGCGCGCATATATATATATAAATTCCTCCATTGTTCAAAAGTCATCTGTTTAATAATATTATTCTTAAAATATTATATATATATCCTCTCAAAACGAGTTTATGAATAAGCTTTTGAAAATTTTTTTCTTCTTTGCATTTCTGATATTTATTTTACTATTTCTATTTATTTATTCTCTTTTTTTTATTATTGTAAATAAATTTAAATTTATAATAATAAAAAAAATTATTTATATAAATATTGTTTAAAATTAAATTTAAAGCTTTCTGGGTTCAAATTGATAAAATAAATAATAGAAAATAAAGTGGAATTGGGAGCGTAATTTTGAGGTTTACTATTATAATATTTCAATGCGAGGAAAGTTCTTCTGCAGCTGCTACAAAATGACGTTTACCTTGAGCGCAAAAGTCGTGATTGCATTTTGCTGCAGTTGAACCACACCTCGATCGCTCACGTTTCCTTGTTTCACGGAAGACATTATACGCGAAGCTTAATAAAACTTTTATAGAATCGATCAAATTTTTGCCATCCCCTTTCGTTTTTTTTTCGTATCAAAACCACAAAACGTTCAATATTTTTTCGTATAAACAATTCTCGAATGTTCCAAAGAACTAATTAAATATAATTATTATATATAATAATATTAATTATAATTTTTTATTATTTTTATTATATATTATTAGTATATATACTATTATTATAAAATTTTTATATCATTATTATATTCCTGTTTTTTTATGTTTCAGGTCAGTATTGGTGCCTCTATTTTTTTTTTTTTTTTTTGGAGTCTGCGTTCTCATGCTTGGGAGGTTAAGTTGGGGTTAAAAAGCAAAAAGAAGTTCACAGCTTTAATTCTTAAGACCTGACCCGACAGCAAAAGCGTCGAGGGAGATTATCGCGTGGATAAAATAGCTGGCTTAATTATCCGGTAGGTACCCAAAGAATGAGGGAATCAAGAACTGCATTGCTTTTTGACCTTCTGATTTCACAGAAAATAATATATTATCTCTTGCTTAAATTGTTTTAAGATTGTTCATATTTTTTTAATTTATATATATAAAATATTTTTTCAATTTTATATTTATTCAAAATTTTTATTTTTATTCAATGTATTTCTAAAATTTTATAGCCAAAATTTTATTTTTATTTATCAAAGTTTTAATTTTATTTCTATATCGAAAGTTTTATTTTTATTAATAAAAACAGAAAAACGTAATTGAAATATCACAATCTTAATTTAATTTAATGCGCTGAAAAAAAAATTTATTTAATTCAAATAATCTTGTACTTGACTATTATCAAATAAATATTTACCAAATAATTTTACTAAATAATTCCTATTTGGACCAATAATTTCTGTATTTGCAACAAATAGAATTTAATTGAAATAGTAATTAATTGATAGAAATAAATATTTATTTGATAATACTCGATTATTTGAATCAAATAAATTTTTTTTCCATTTTATTTTTGTTCTGTTTTTTAATGAGTCATATTTAATTGACATGAGTCTTCAAAATGTTGACAAGCGGATAAACATATTTTTCAAAATTAATTTCTATTTTTCATCTAAGATATAGTTTTTTTTTTATTTTCGTCTCAAAGATGCGTGTTTTTTTTTTTTTTTTAATTCGTTAGTTTCATTTAGTAATTGTCGAATAGAATAAATTTTTTTTCTCCTCGATTTAATTGAATCAGATAATTGGTAGTCAGTGAAGATTTTTTATTTTGGGTGGAGAGTTTTTTTTTCGAGTGATTAAGCTTTCATGATGGATAATTATAATAATTGTTGAACCTGTTGAAAGAAATTGCCCATTGGATTAACCTAATTAACCTTCATCAAAATTTTATAGGATGCGTGGCCCCTCTTTCTCTCTTTCTCTCAATAAATTAAGTCACTTACCGAAACGTAAACTGTTATAGTATATATACTTGATAGGCACGCGAACATATAAACTATCGAACAGAAGGAGAATTATATATATATATATATATATATATGGATTTGTTTATAAAACCGCGTGTGTGCTGTAATCGCGTTCAGCTATTCATTAAATCGACCATTAACTTCTAATTAGTTTCGCTTTCGTAAAATAAGACATTATCAATGAAAAATCTTCTTCCGTTAAAGTTGAAAAAGTTTTTTTTTTTTTTTTTTTTTTATAAATTACTTTCTAAAGTCATTGATTTCAATCATTGTTGACTGCGAGTTTGTGTTGCAATTTGTAATTTTATAGAGAGGAAATTTGATATTCTTTTAGAGATATATTTGTAATCTTGAAAAAATAGTGATTTCAATTAATTATTATATAAAAAAAAAGGGGGGGAGGGAATTATTTTTATATCGATTTATGTAATAGTATTGAAAGTGAAATATTTCCATATATATAATTTAAAACGGAAGTCAGAAATGTATGACAAAAATTTAGTATATATGGCAATCTGACTTGTTCTAATTACTTATTCAAATTAATGGAAATTAAATGTCACTACTGTAAATGCTTTAGCAAAGCCACCATGCTTATTCGTTCTTGACAAATTTAGGTCATGATTCACGTTTATTATCTTCTCACGCAATTATTATTTTTGGACTTTTGTGAAAGAGGTAAACATCAATTTAAAAAAAAAAAAAAATAGTCGCGAAGTTATAGAAATTCGGAACTTGAAAGTTTGTTTCTATTTTTTTGTATTTAAAAAATTAAATTTTTATAAGTTATTTAAAAAAAATTTTAATTAAAAAAAATTACTAATTTTTTAGAGAGTAATTAAAAAATTATTTTCGAAATCAATTAAAAATTTTTTTTTATTAAAAATTGATTTTGTTTTTTTATAATGATAATATTCATGATAGAGAAAAAATTGAGTGTAATTAGTTGTCTGCAGGAATCTTAATACAGTTGATAATATCAGCCTTTTTGATATTATATACGAGATTAGCAATTAATTGTAGAAATAAATCATATTACGGCGTGAAATATTGAAAGAATCATTGTACTCATTATTTTCTGTTATAATTATAATCGATTGTTTCACGACAACAATCTTGATTCACATTTTATGTATAATAGTTTAACTATTCGGATATAAATAGTTTATATATATTAATCGATCTTATCGAAATCGTTTAACATGTCCCGATTGTCCAAGGTCCGGTATACACCTATAAGGTTACCCGCTGAGGTGAGAGAGAGAAAGAGAGAGAGAGAGGTTTTTTTTTTTAAAAATCGTTTTATATTATAATGACCTTGGCGCTTTCTCATTATTTTCTTCCCATACAAATTATAAATATTATTTTCCCAATTAATTAACAATTATAATTTTAATAGCATCCTTTTTTAAATTTGACTTATTTGATACACGGAAAAAAATTTTCACCTGAAGCGATAAGTTTATAACTGGAACAGCGATATTGATATTATATTTCACTAAAACAGCGAAAGTTTTCATTATTTCAAAGAAACATATCGTTTCAAAGATTTTTTTCGGTAAAATTCGAGTATATACACAGAAAATTATAAGGTATTAAAATAAGCTGCAACGCTTATTATTTTAATCCAATTTTGCTTATTTTAATACCAAAATGGATTAAAATAATCAAAATTGGATTAAAATAATAAGCGTTGCAGCTTATTTTAATGCCTTTAAATTTTCTGTGTAATAAAGTTTTAGAAACTGCTTTCAAAATTAGAAATATTTTTTTTTTTTAATGAAGACAATAAATATTGTTTCTTGGAAAAAAAATATTGAGGTCTTTGGAAAGCAGCACATTCTGAATTCAATGAGAGAGAGAGAAAAAAAAAAGTACAAGGACGATGGGTATATTCTGTCACACGACTTTTGTTCATTGTCGTGCATATTTCAAAGATGTTACGTAACGCAGAGACAGGTTATATCTCTTTTGCATGTGTTTTTCTTGATACTAAAATCGTTTTTAATAGAACTTTCACCATCCGGCAATATTTTAAACCCCTTCTGTTATATATATATATATATATAAATAAGGATTAAGGATCTATAAATATTTTCCATCATGTTTCTCTTAAGTAAAATTCATTGTACAATCTTTATATTTTCTAAACTCGTGCCCATGTTTACATCCAATTGCACTATTGCAAATTTTATACTTCCAATAGTATTTTCAATTTATTTTATTATTTGGACATTTTTGCTTATAAAATGTTTTCGATTTTTTCCCCTGGGGATTTTTTATTGGTAATAATTTTATTCATTCTTGTTTTTTTGAAATAATTTTATAGGTATTATTTTCGTAGATACACTGAAAAAAAAATTTATTTGATTCAAATACCGGTGTATTTTGGTTATTATCAAATAAATATTTACTTGAATCAAATATTTCTTATTTGAATTAAATAAATTGTATTTGCTTCAAATACTGAAATATTTGATTCAAATAAATATTTATTTGATAATAACCAAATACACCGGTATTTGAATCAAATAAATTTTTTTTTCAATGTAGTAAAATTTTCATAGAGAATTTTTCTTAAGTAGAATTTCTTAGTGTAGAATTTGTTTTATATTAAAATATATGTTTTTGTAAAGATTTCGTGGTGCGTTCCACATATAGAAGAGGACATTATGATATTGAATTTCCGTTCATGGATACGTATGACATTACTCTTCTTTTGAAATGAAATGCCACCTGTTGGTCTATTCGACATTCGAGGATTTCCGCTGTAAGACAGTGCAGATTTCTATTTCACGACCGGTATATATATATAAACGCAATTCTCTTTTCTCCTCCAAAGCGAACTATCTTCTTTCCGTCTTAATTATTATCGTTATACTGTAATTATATCGTCGAGAGTGTGCGCCACAGTCTTGAAATCCATTGCTACTTCAATTTCTCAGGAATCCATACATTCCTCAGATCAAAAGCCATTTCAGAAAAATTATTTTATGAAAATATCGTTTCTTTTATATATATATATATATATATATATATATATATATATATTCACAAATATTTCACATTTTATTTTTACCTTTTTTTTTGAAATTATAAAATAATTTCACTTAAAAATTAGAAACGAAAATTAAATTGATAAATATGTTATATGTTTAATATATTTTATATTATTATTTATAATTTATAATATTAAGTGATAAATGTGGAATTTAAGAGCATAACTTAGTATTTGAATTGTGAAAGAAAATAGAAAATATAGCGGGAAATGGAATGAAAATATTTAACCACAAAATCAGCAACTGTAGAAAATGTTACATGGTCGATAATTTTTTATTATTAATTTTTTCATCAGCTTCTTTTTCTTCTTCTCAATAGCACGTGACAAATTTTAATGAAAGAAAATCGTAGTGTATATAGTTTAAAAAGATTCTTGTGGTTGTTTTACGGGATCCTTTATTTTTGTCACGGTGACGTGGCGCTCGCAAAGTGATATAGATATATAATTCACGCAGCTTATAGGAATAACTAAATCTCTTTATAGTTTTGAATATATTCGAAAATAACCCAAGAAAAACCCTCTTATTTCCCCATATACGCATTTTTTTCCAAAAAACTAATAACGAAAGAGAAAATATTGACATCTAAAAAAAATCATTTAAAAAATTTGTTATCTCTTTTTTATCATTTTTTTTATCATTTTTTTTTTTTTTTTTATTTACACTTTTCTATTTCATTTAGAGGAATTAATTCCATGTTTCTTATTTTAAAGAAAAAAAAGATTAAATATGAGAAGATGAATATTTCCTATATACGTAATATAATTTTTTTTTTGTCTATGATGACACGTGGTTATTAGAAAGTGAAATCCACAAATAATGAAAATCAAATGTAGGCTGAGCTTAATTATAGGGAAATTTGTAATATTATACAATCATAATTTTATTCCTATACATAATTTTTTTTAAGCATTGCCTTTTCAAAAACTAATATCCAATTGCTTATAGTGTTTAAAAATTATGAACCTTTTTCTAATATTTTTCAATATTTTTTAAATTAATTTATAATTAAATATTATAATATTAATTGAATATATATTTTTTTTAAAAATGATATTCAATTAAAATATATTATATTAATCTACAAGTTGAGATCTGTAAGCTAGGCGTCTTTCTGTATACAATGACTGTTTTTAAGTCAATAGCAAAGTCATGTTTCATTTTCTAAAGAGACCTCGCCTCGCGCTTCTTATCGACATCAAAAACTCTCTTGATGTCAGTACGGAAGTCGTTAAATGATACTTCATTTTCAAAGTGCGTTTGCCACTGTCACGTTTGTCAATATCAAACTTCAAATAATGCTGACGTTATTATTTTTTTTCTCAAAATAAAACGAAAAAAAATTGTTCCTTACAAATATCATTAAGTATTTTTAAATTATAAATGTGTTTATCAATAGTGACTCAGAATCACTGTATCATAGTATTAGAATCATAGAATTGGAATTACACTATCATAGTATTATAAAATCATACTATCCTAGTATGAGAATGACATAATTAGAACCACAGTATTATAGTATTAGAATCCCACTATCATAGAAGTAGAATCATACTATCATAGTATTAGAATTATACTATAATGGTATTAGAATCATAGAATTAGAACCACAGTATCATAGTATTAGAATCCCACTATCATAGTATTAGAATCATACTATCATGGTATTAGAATCCCACTACCATAGTATTAGAATCATAGAATTAGTACCACAGTATCATAGTATTAGAATCCCACTATCATAGTATTAGAATCCCACTATCATAGTAATAGAATCCCACTACCATAGTATTAGAATCATAAAATTAGAACCACAGTATCATAGTATTATAGAATCCCACTATCATAGTATTAGAATTATACTATCATGATATACGAATCATAGAATCAGAACCACAGTATCATATTATTAGAATCATACTATCATAGTATTAGAATCATACTACCATAGTATTAGAATCATACTATCATAGTATTAGAATCATAGAATTAGAACCACAGTATCATATTATTAGAATCCTACTATCATAGTATTAGAATTATACTATCATAGTATTAGAATCATAGAATTAGAACCACAGTATCATAGTATTAGAATCCCACTATCATAGTATTAGAATTGTACTATCATAGTATTAGAATCATAGAATTAGAACCACAGTCACATATTATTAGAATCCCACTATCATAGTATTAGAATCATATTATCATACTATTAGAATTATACTATAATAGTATTAGAATCGTACCATCATAGTATTAGAAACATAGAATTAAAATCATACTATCATACTATTAGTATCATAGTATTGGGATCTTACTATCATAGAATTAGAATCGTAGTATCATATAATATTAGAATCTCACTATCATAATATTAGAATCATATAGAATTAGAGCCGCAGTATTATAGTATTAGCATCATACTATCATAGTATTAGAATCGCATTATCATAGAATTAGACTTATAGTATCATATAATATTATATGTCACTGTAAAATAATGATATATTTTCAAGGAGGAGAATTGCCTTTCCTCTCTCATATCAGTTTTTCTTATACTTTGTAGAGATGGTATACATTTATAGTGCGGGATAGCAATTAAAAAAAGATTGCTCGCACATTGAACAATAATTCGCCTTTCTGAGGATCATGATCGCGCGTGGAAAGAAGAAACCAAAGTCTCGCTCATAATCTCTTACGTGGAAACGCCTCATAGACATTTCACAATTATCTCCTTCTCTCTCTCCCTCTCTCGACATTTTATTATTATTTTTTTTTTCACTTCTATATCGTGCGAATTGTATACAATCCGCATATATATGTCTCGCGTAGAAAAGATAGTGTCAGTTCCACACGGCATTTTATATATTATATTTGGTAGTCGCAATTGTTTTATTCTTTTCATTCAGTAGCGGCCGTTATTTTTCTCGTTGTGTAATTATATCTATCTACATTCAGCTAACAATGTATAACTATATTTGATTATAATTTTTCTTCTTAACATTTTTATTTGAAAGATTTATATCGCGAGTTTTCGAAATAAGAATATTTTTTCTCTTAAAATTGTTGGAATTTTTTCATTGAATTTATTTGAATTTTTCATTTAGCTTAATTTTTATTGGTACGAATATTTATAAAATTAGCAGAATTATTTTAATTTTATCAAAAAAAATGGAAAATAAAAACTAGAGATTAAATTTCATACACAATTTATTTCATACGCTAAGTATAAACAAATAATTGTTTAATATAAAACATTTCGAGCTTTAATCAAAGTTTCCAGATCTAGGAATATTTTTTTTACAAATTAAACACTTGCACATGTTTAGAATAATTTGAAAATCAAAATCACTATAGTTTTGATGTTGCGCTGTTATTTTTCCTTATCTTGTAGCCTCTTCTCGAGTCTTTTTTTCATCCGGCGAACCATGTCATCTATTAGTGAACGACAATCGAATTGGTAGTTGGAATTGTTTATCAATGGAGGAATCATTTCAGTTGAATTATTGATAGCGGGTAGAGAGAAATTTGGAAAGATAATTTGTTGTTGTTGTTGTTGTTGTTCTGTTCCAAAAATACGTCCTGGTCCAGTTTGAGAATTAAAATTTCCCATAGTATCAAAACCACTTCTATTAATAATTGTTTGACCTATTGGATTAATTCCACATGAACAATTAATTGAACAAGGATTTAAAACTCGTTGTTGTTGTTGTTGTGTATTGAAAAAATGTTGTTCTTGCCGTCTTTGATTTTGAAATTGTACCATTTGAAGATCGGTTATTTTTATCATTCTGATATTTCTATTAATTGTCTGATGATCGGGTAATAAATTTGGATTATTTGTTGGTGGATAGGGTGCAAAATATGTTTTTCTCATAACTAATGGATTGACATTTGATCGAGATGAAATTTGTGGTAAAGAATTATTTTGTTGTCTACTTCTAAAAATTTCTTTTAACGGTGTACATACGTTACATTGATCTCTTATACAACTTCGCCAATGTCTAAGAATCATTTTCGATGAAAAACAATGATGTACCTTGCAAGTACTCAATTGACAATTTCTTATGTGATTTAATACATTTTTCATTGTTCTACAGTGAGGTAGAGAACATTCACTCTCTTCATTTGATTGAATCTCTTGTTGTAGACAATTTTCAGCGTGTAGGAGTAAAATAAGATGTTTTTGAATTTGGTACTCCTTCTCAGCCACTGTTGTTTCAATTCTTTGATTACGACCAATTGAATCAGGATTCATTGCGCGAGATCCTAAAAAAAAATTTTAATTAGAGATTTACTAAAAAAAAAATACTTTAAAAATTACACAAAAATATACACTATTTAATTATAAAAACTTGGTTCTTAGTTTAGACTTTAATAATAGAAAAAAAGTCTTGTTTCTAAATATGAATATTAAAAATTTTTTTTATAATATTTATGATACTTTATTAAAAATGATTATCGACCAAAATAATTTCACAATGATATAAAATATCAAAAATTAAAAAATATTTAAATTTAATTTTTTATGTAAAATTAAATTTCTTGAAATTTTATTATTGTAAGATAAGAGAAGAACAATATTTACCATTAATACACCAGTGATAAAGTCATTAACGTTAAATAGAATTTGAAAATTAATATAAACAAGAGTAATCGAGTCAAAATAGAAATGAAAAACAAATTTTAAATTAGATATTTAATAATATTCTTATATTATACGAATTTGAATACTTTTCGCATTTAATTTTTTTATATTTAATTCATTAAACATTTTTTTGTCGTCGATATTCTTTTTAAATAAATTTAAAACCTTTAAATAGTATATTAAATTTACACAAAAATTTATTTAGAAATTTTACTGTCTTTTTAGAGCGGTAAAATTAAAAGAAAAAAAAAATTTTATTTACACTAAAAATAATAAAAGTAAATTTTTACCTGTTTAGCTAATTCAATTAGGAAATTTCAACTCTCAGCATAAATATAAAAATTTTTAAGACGATAGCAAGAAGGTTCTTTCAGGTAAAACTTTTGTAACTACACTGAGGACCACGTTTCAAAGACAATTCCAACTACACTGATCATAACACACTGACGTATAATAATAAAATTTCAAATCAGAGAAAATTTAAACTTAGCGCGCAAGACGAATTTCTGTTTGCAAAGAAACTCATTTTTCAAGGAAAGGAATTTTTTTTTTTTACTATTTTACAAGAAGTTTTTTTTCCAAATTATAAGAACAAACGATTAAATTGTTAATTAAAAAAAGGATTATTTTTTTCCTTTTCTAATTTGCATTTTTGTGGAATTATATATTTTAAGGGGGCACATGCTACATCCAATTTGGTTGTTGCAAAACAGAACAACTTTTCCTGAACGGGGTCGTTACCTTTAATAGACATCGGCGTGACCGTATTACGTGTTCGACAAAACGATGCTCGCTTTCGGTATTGCGTGTCCAATTGTGGATTCGGCATACCAAGTAATCAAGCAGCGAAATCAGACCACACAAACAAACACACACAGACACAAACACTAATTTACAACCATAAATTGATCACTCTGTTTCACCAGATTTTTTTTTTTTTTCATTTAAAAAGCCTGCGGTAATTCAATATTTAAATGAAAAAAAAATTGTCTTGCATAAACCATTAAAGCAAACTGTTAAATACATTTATGTAATAATATGTACAACCAAATATGTTCATTTTTAACTTATTTGGTATAAAACTATTTTCTGAATATATATATATATATATATATATATAATATATGAATGACGTGGATTTATTTTCCATAAGCAGACAAAAATGGACCGACATTTTTATATTAATAGAATGTAAAATATAGAAAATTCCATAACAGATTTAACGGCGCGTAAAATTGAATGTATAAAAAGAAATTTCATTTACCGCTGATCGCTAGAAAACTTTGTGTGTGCACTGATGGGAAAAGATGTCTGCGCAAAGTTATAGGACAATCGTTGGACGATTTCCCATGAATTATTATTACGTCGTTTCTATTATGTTTTTCGAGCGTAAAGTCTGTAACCCTTTGCTCAGCAGCAACAGCAGCAGCAACAGTTTATTCAGTCTAATTCGTTTGTAAAAACAAAAGTAACGGCCACGAAGATTCGTACCTACTTCTTAAATCAGAGGATAACTATAATTCAAAGTACCGCTCCTTCTCATTAAAAAGGCCTTTCTTTCTTTTATGCATTTGGTATATATATACAACCGCTTTTTAATTTTTACGGTTATGGGGCGTAACGTCTTCTTCCCGTGGGACCAAATTTGCATTTCGCTTAATAAAAATAGAATATAGTAGATTTTCAAAATCAAAAAATTGAAATTGTATTTCTATATTGAAATATGTAAATTATATTGAGATTTTTTGTGAAAAATAGAAAAAGCAATAATAGATACGTGAAATTGAAAATGGAAGTTATGGATTGTTAGCTGGCAAATCGATTCGCGATCGATGGTTATATACCGTGCGTGGAGGACAGTAAAATTCTTAGAATGCATCCCTAGGAACTTCCTTATAGCGTCGATGTATAAACTACATGAGCAAAAGCGAATGCCTTGGCTTCATCACACACAGCGAGTTTATATATGTCGTTCACTGCTAACTTACATAACGTCTTAACTCCGAGATCAATCTCCAAGAGCGTCTACAATAATAATGGATATTTCTACTGCAATTATATGTACCAAAAAGAGAATAAATTTCCTTATTTCTCGGTAAAATCTCTACAGATTCCTTTACCGACACTGAGAAAAAAGTGGTTCTGATCTATGCTAAATGGAAAGCATTTTTTTTCGAGGGTCGGTAATATGTTGGTACAGGAATTTGCAGCTAGAAATCCTTTTTTTCGAGAGAATATATAAGAGAGAAGAAAGGAAGAGTTTGGGGAAAAAGGACAATGGCCGGGAGGAATAAATTTTTGGCATAGAGGGGAAAACGAGCTCTTTTTTTTCCCTACAAAAACACGAACTGAATAAATTGCGTCTTGGCACGCGGACTCTTGACCATCGCAAAAATGCTTCCTCTTTCCTTACTTTGTTCTTCTTCATTGAGGCGACGACAATTTATTCTTTTTTTTTTCATCACATTCATCTCAGAGGCAAACCATTCAGTGTGTATATAGAAAACCGCACATATAAGCAGAGAGATGACAAAACAAGGATAACCACTGCAGACAGAGAATTCAAGAAACGACTCAATACACTGATTTACGTAATTGTACTGATGTGACGGTATTATTAACGGTTTTACAATTAGCTGCTCTAAAGAATCGTTGAATATAATTTGCTTCTTCAATGCAGAATATGATAATGCACATCTTTTATTCTTCGAATTGTTGTTTTTTTCGGAATTATGTTTCTTCTTCAACCAGTTAATTTTAGTTGACAATACAGTTGGATTCACAAAATTTTGAATCTATTTTCTAGATTTTTCAAAAAGTCAACAAAATGTTGTTTTTGCAATGTTTTTATATATGTGTGGCTTTGGTGCCATATTATCCTAACGGTTTATTTGAAGCAGACTTTCCGAGAATCTTGATTTAAGGAAAGAGTGTGTTTTCTCGTTGAAGAACTGGACCTTGGAAACTGGACGGTTGAACGAGATGACATTCCATAGAGTTTGCTACCGCGTTGTTACAAAATGCAGGTTATGTCCACTGTTTGTTTTATCCGTATATACGTATATATATATCTTTTAAGCCGCACTTTAATTCGATATCCCTCGGCTACAAAGAAGATGAGAGAATTCCCTTGTCGCGGGAGCTATTATAAAAGAATTGAAGCTAATGTTCTTGTTCAGACAGAGAAAATTACGTCAAACTGCTCGTTTATCTTCTCAACAAAAGGGGGTCAGAGTTTATGTAACTTAATTTAAAAGTCGCGCAATTTCTTTGCCACTTTGATCTCGATTTATACAACTGTAATTTTAATTGATATAATTGCCATTAATTGATCACCTTCGTTTAGAAAAAAAAATTTTATTTACGAACATAGAATTATTTATTTATAAATTTTTTCCTAATAAGTCAGATCAATAGGACAAATAATAAAGATCATTAGATCGTGATATTTCGTTATAACGCCCATAAATTAATCTCAACTTGAGTGATGGCCAATCAAATTTCAATTGGCAATATTTCTTTGAGGAAAAAATCATTTGCCACACATGGCGATGATTGTAAGGTCAGTTTTATAAAGATTACGAAATTTGAAAGTAAACAATAATCAGAGCACATGTCCTTCGATGTAAAATAGTTATTAAAATTTAAGAAAATGGATTAAATTCATATATATATATTTATACCGTTGCTAAATCCCGTTTTGTGGTATAAATGCTATTTATTGCATTGGGTTTTTATTGTGACGTTGAGAAATCCTTGGGTATTACTATCCTAGAAAGGAGATATACATTGCGGTCGCATCCCAAGGAATCCGATCGATGTCAGATCGGATTCCTCGAGATATGTTGCTTGTATACACCATAGAAACAATTAATAATTCTCTTTCTCTCTTTCTCTAGTTTTAGGAACCACGATTCGCGATTTCGAAACACGAAGCCCGTATAGTTTTATCTTTTTCTAGCGAAAGAGTGAGATAGAGAGAGCTGTAAATGGGTATTTCACAAGAGATCGACCTGACATCAATCTCCTTTCGAACCCGTTTCAAGCATGCAATTTACTTGCACATTTTACCTGAAATAAGTAAAAAGAAAAATTTCTAACAAACACGTAAATTGTGGAAGTTTTGTCTAGTTGCGTTTAAATCAGATCTTGGGTGGTATTTGATAAGAATTTTTGTGCAAATAATAAGAAATTAAAATGCAACAATTTTAACAATGTTGCTTATCGTTTTTGTTTTTTTGCCGACTGACTGACCACGCATTTTCCCACGAGCTAAACGTAAACTATGCGCGCACACACTTTTGTGTTAGTGTGACAAGCGCAGAAGTAGCAGCTCCCCCGTTGACACCGACGCGACTCTTTCGTAAGGACGACATATGCACTTCTTGTCCGCTTGCAAGACCGCTATTCCATCCGCAATAGTTTGCGCAATTCTCGAGCCAGCTTATTATTCCCTATCATACAACATGTCCTTCGCTTGGCGCCAGACGGGAAGTATAATTGTCACATTATACTGCGTTCCATCTCGTAAACGTTCCAGGGACTGTATAGAAACTTTTTATATTTTCATTCCTTAAACTTGCCCAACCATGATGAAAACCCTACACGGAATATATTTCAGCAAGTCTGTATTGTAAAAGCAGTATGTTGTTGTAATTTTTATTTATTTCGTGTGATACAGAAAATGGTAGCCAGTTATCCAGGATTTTTAAAAATGCAATTTTTGGTAGCAATAACATTTGTGCAGGAATTAACTGGATGACAGTTTCAGAATTAGTTCATCCGTTTGGTTCTGTCGTAGTAGTTCTGCAAACTGTGGTACGAAAAGTAATTAATTCTGCTCTGTTTTGTGATAACATCTGTTAGGTTTGATTTAACTGGATAGTTTCAGAATCAGGTGATCCGTTTGTTTCTGCCGTAGTAGATTCAGTTTTTGAAAATTTTATCTATACTTGAAGAAGAATTTAGTGCCTCATAATGTACAACCTTATGAGAAAATTGTTCAATGAGAGAATGTGATTGATGGTACATTAGTTGAGTCTTTTGTTATTGAAGAAAATAATCATTATAAAACTTATAGGTTTATGACTGATGAAATAAATTATCTGCAAATCTGAGAACTATACACCACACACGAGAAAAAACCTGTTGATGTATTACTAGGCCGTTTACAACTATACAGGATCAATGAATATAAAACACAAATAAATGGAATATTATAACGAAATTCAAGAGAATGTAAACATTCTTAGAATAGTGCAGTTTCACACGTCAAGATGTAAAATACATTATTAATCAGGCATTACGCAATATTAATGTTTCCTATATAGAGAAGAAATCATCCACTAGGGAAAAAAATTATTATTTGCTTACTTAAATATGGCTCATGAGAAAAATTCTGTCAAATTAAGAAGTAGTTTGTTTGTTATATTCATTGTTCGCGAGTGCACAGATAAAATGTTGTACAACATCAAAAACTTTACTATATACTTACATCATTCTTATTTTGCAATCGCTTTTGTCTCGACTACCGTCTCTCTCGAAACCATTCACAACTTTATTATTTTGTTGATTATTCTTAATATTTGTTACATGCTCCGTGAGAAAATATTACATTAATAGGAATATCATTAAGCTTTCACGATTCAAAATTATTGAAAACAGTTGAAATTTTTTTTTTTTGAAAATGGTGTTTTATCGATTCCCTTCGGATTCTTTTCTCACACAACCGGTTAGAAAATCAATTTCTATTTCTTCTTTTGTGCGCTTATTTTATATCATTTTTTTTTCTGAATAAATTCCTCCCGAAATATTTACATAATTGAATTTTAGAGAAATGTAAATTTCTTGATGTGTTTGTAGTTTATATAAACAGTTGTGTAAAATTACTATTCAGTTGTATAAATATTACATATGGCCCCCCCATACAGTAACATTTGAGTGCGTGGGCCTTCTATGATATATACAACATACACTGTAAAAAATTTTGGGAATTATCACCAACTTTTTTTGGTGAATATTTCATATTTTTGGGGAAAATGTTTTCCCCAAAAAAATAAGTGATTGTTTTCCTAAATTTTGGTGAAAATTTCCTAAAATTCTAATGTATATATTTTCCCTAAAAAGAGTTGGTGAAGATTTCTCAAAATTCCAATGAATATATTTTTCCCCAAAAACAAGTGGTGAATATTCCTCAATTTTTTTGAAATCCTTCTTCAAAAAAGTTAAACTTTAAACTTACTTAAGTTACAAAAAGTTATTTGTAACTTGTAATATAATTTATTCATTTCATAGATAAGTTAATTATAACTTAACTTAATAAGTATTTTTAAGTAGACAAAAATTTATATTTCTAAAGAATTAAATTAAAATTTAATCAATATTTGTTTAACAGATCTTATTTTATTTATTATATAACATAAGTCACAACTATTTTCAACGTGTGTTTCCTTTTTTTAAAGTTACAAAGCATGTTTACATAGTTTCATCTTATATATTGAAATTATCATTTTATTTTCATGAGCCTCCGTGGCGTAGTTAGTAGAGCGTTAGACTTCTAAATCTCTCCTAATGACGCTTACGTTCGAGACCTCATGATAATATTTGATAATTTTCAAGAAAACAAATTTTCATCAATAGGTACCAATAAATAATGTAAGTAAGATATAAATGCTACATGAATCAAATTTTTAAATTTTTATTTCAATTTTTTAAACTATTGATATTAATCTTTGGGAAAATTCACTAATATTTGTGGAATATTCCCTAAAATTTTAGGGAAAAGTTTCCCCAGAAAATTTTAGGGAATTTTCCACAAAATGCCCTGCAAATTTGCGTCACTAGAATTTTGGGGAATTTTAACCAAAAAATTTTTTACAGTGTAGGTTATGTGAATGTATTTGCAAGCTTACGTCCTTGCGTTTCCTCTCGAGTGGACGCGCCTTCCTCCGATTACGTTCACTCTTCCCCTTTCTTCTAACCAAGTCATAAATGCAGAATCATTTTATAAAATACTTTTTGAAATTTAAAAACAAAAATTTAAAAAAAAAATTATTGACAAAAAATGTATATACAAACATATTGGGGGAATGTATAAAAATTTGTTTAGATATTTACAAAATTCTTGTATACAGGATTTAATAAGACGTGAAAAGATATTAAGACAGAAGATATAAGGATATAAAATATACATAGCAATGTATAAAATGTGTAGGCAAGATACATAGGTTATATGTATATATATATATATAGTTAGAAAAGTACAGCAGCAGTTTCCATAAGCCTTGCAATCTATTGCAAACGATACGCAACTGTGCTTTATTGCCCTCGGCCACGCCAAGATATTCACTGGCATAATATAAAGGGTGGCTTCCGATTCCTCTCTTGGTTGGAAGAAAATTGAGCTATTCTTCTCAGAAGGAAAGAAGGAGAGAAAAGAGATTGCTGAGTATTTTTCCTCCTGCACATAGCAGCATATCCGCGTGATTGCAGTGAAGATTTTTCGATTATTTGAAGAATTCTTCTTTTTAGAATGATACACAAGATATGATCTTCTCAAATTGTTGCAGGTATTTTTTTTTCGACATAACGTCAAACTAAAAATTGGTATGACTTTTCATTTTAAAAAACATCAAAACGCTTCAGAATTTCCTGATTTTGGAAAATTTTGATTTTGATCTGAGAGCTAATTCTGAAAATAATCAGAAAAATCTGAAGTGTTTTGACTTAATTTTTTTAGGCGCACCATTTCAAAATGGGGTTTTTGTACTATTTTGTCGTATGAAACTAGTTTCTAACCAAATATATTACTGAAAATTAGTTTGGAACATATAGTAATTTTTTGGTTATTATCACTGTAAAACGAAAGGTATTAATTTAATACCGACTTTAGGTACTAAATTGTCTTTTGGTTCTATTTTGATACCTAAAATCGGTACTATTTTAGTACTTTCTTTTTACAGTGTAGTTTCATACTACTATATAGTACAAAAACCCGATTTTAAAATAAAAATCCTTGTGTACCAAATACTAATGATTTTAGAAGTATATAGATAAATTTTTTTTTTAACTTGAACTCTCTGTAATAGAAATTACTGTTCTCTGTCCAAGAATTCTAGAATTATTAATAGTTCACTCTTATGATACATAATTCAGTTCTCACGGCATTGGAGATCATAATACGTAACGTGGAATTAAAGAAAAAAAAACAGATTGCAACGATTGTAATTACCGTTACTGTCATATCATGAATAAGTTATATTAGAAGTCTAGAATTCTCGTTTTTTTCTTCTTCTTCTATTTTTTCCGAATAAAGTTGTTAATTTTTCTCGCATAAGAATCACTGATTGTTAACTACGATTATCTTGGAGGTTAGGTTATTCTTCCTTGAGGCAAAGGCACACACAGGTATTTATATATAGTCTTTTGAGGATAGGGGGGAATTCTGACGATAAAATGCCAGTTCTTGATAATCTTCTCCGAGGTAAAAAAGTGGTATTTAATACGAAAAGAAAATTCTAAAGAATCATGATACTTTTAAAAAAATGTATATCCGGATAATCTCTGAATTTCGAATTCAGATATTTCAAATAGGAAACAATTTTCAATACCGGATATGTTTTAGGGAAAATTTTTTTATTCAAAACATCAACCCTTTTTTGCGAACCGTGACCAGATTTCATTTTCATTGAGAGAGAGAGAGAGAGAGGTGTAATAGTGCAGCAGGTATATATACACACCAGAGAGATGAGTTTAGAATGCAAATGATCTCCATAAATTGTAAATGCTGAACGCACGGTGGTTGGGATTGAAAGTAAGTGCCTCGTTTCCTCTCTCTGGAGAACACCTTTAAAAGGCTTGTCCACTTGCGAACACGACGAAGATGAAAACGAAAAAAAAAAAAAAAAAAAAAAACACGAAAATAGCAGCAACGATTACCAATTGGTCATCCTTTTCAGCCCAGCTGCAGTTTCTCGTTGTTTTCCATATATTATATTTACAAAAATCTTATTTCTTCTATTACAATATAATAAAATGTAAAAAAAAAAAAGTTAATTACAATTTTCTGATGGAAATTTATTTTTTCTGTTACAGGTGAGAGAATAAACATTATTTCAAGGATGTGTAAGGTAATTTTATTTTTAAAAAGCAGTGTCCTCTTGCGAATGAACGATCAACAATCACAGATTTGATCGGTAAAAATATAGTCTCCCTTTAACGAGAATAGATAACCGGTGAGTCCGGTATGCTGTGAACGCAATAAAATAGTTTTCATATAAATGACACGCCGGCAATGAGAAAACAAGTAAAATCTCTCTCTCTCTCTCCGAGGAGAGAATCTTACAATCAGCTTAGTTAATCTCAAAAATTAATTTCAAAGAAAAATTTCCCGGATCGTTAAAACAGATTTTCTATTTTTTTTTTTTTTTTTTGCGAAAAATTCCCAGTAGCGATAATTATCAAATATAATGATTTTATTTTTTGAAAATGATTTTTTCTTTTTGTGTTCATATGGGTGGGTTAGAGGTCAAGGAATATGCATTGAGGCGCAAGGTTACATATATATATATATATTGTACATTGGGCATTGGGCCTTATCTCGATGCAAGCGATCTCGGGTGATTTCTCTCGATTTCTTGACGTAGAATCAACGGCGGCAGTTAGGACTCTCTCGAAGTTGTCCTTGAACTCGTCCTCCAACGTGGCCCGGACCCCTGAACTCTCAGGGCCCTCTCTTTCTCTCTTCTACAGCATCTCTGCTGTACCACCACCCTTTTCGCAAAACTATCATCATCTTCTTCTTCTTCACAATCCTATATATATATATACACGTTACGTGCAACTCGAAAGAATGCGCATGAGTAAGCAAATATCTGCACACAAAATACTTACAGGAATGTAAAATTCATTTTTTTTTTATGCTGAGAGTGATTTTTAATGGTAGTAGTAGAATTTGTTTAATTTTTCATTTAAAAAAAAAATAATAATAATAATAATCTTAACTTTTTAATATTTTAAAAACTGGAAAATCATTTTTCCATTCCTATAATTACCCATAATTTTGCCAGGGCCCAGATTGGGACTGGATCAGGCTGCCCTATTAGGGAATGAAACGCCGCGCCTGATTAGAAAATCCCTATTTTCTGGTCGCCCTGATTTGTCCCTGATAAGGTGCGGCGTTTCATTCCTCACTAAGGCCCTGATAGGGCAATTTCTACACGAGTAAAATCGATGTATGTTATGCCTTTTATAAAAAGATAATTGAAAAATTCTATAATGATATAGGATAAAATGTATTTTCTATAAATTATAGTTAAGTATTCAAAAAAAATATATATACCAGTTTTCAAAAAATTAAAAATTTACAGATTGAATATATAATTTAAATTAGATGAGCGTGACAAATTCGAATCTAATCTCCAGAATTCCCATCGAGAAAAAGAAGATGAAAAAGGAGTATAGATATAATTTTATTATACAACTCGAAATATTTCAATTATAAATTCTAATTCCTCTCCTATATATTATTTATAAAGTCCTTTCACCTTCGAATATAACCGATGAAGGCTATATATATATATATATGAAAACCTGTAAAAGGTCAAAATGGCACAAATTTCCATAATCCTACTTGTACCCCATATTTTCTCATTGCTCGCACGCGAGAAAGCCAATGTAAGATGAAATTTTTTCTTTTTCTCCAAATGAAAAAAAAAATTACGGATCTCATATATAGTAAATAATTTGAGTCGGTGAATCTTGGATTAAAATAATCTCCATACGAGATATCCTTTTATACAAATTATTTTATATCGTGCGAGAAAATAATATATATATTAGTGGAATTTGACTCGTTCACGGTGGCAGTTATGTAGTGTAGCGAAGAAAAAAAAAAAAGAAAAAAAAACGCAAACAGGAAAAAGAAACATATATCGATGGTTGGCATTTCTACCGCCTGCAATGAACCTCAAGGACGGTAATACATCATAAGTTAGTAATGAACGTGTTGATTATTGCAATCTTTGGTCTCGTATATAAATATATTATATATATATACTAATCGCGAATTATGAAATCATATCCTGATGTAAAAATTTTTTGAGTCGTTTTCACTTTCATATATATATATATATATATATATCAATAAAAGATCGAGCGAAAAACAAAATTACAGTTTTTTTTTTTATTTTTAATTGTTATTGACACAATGATTTAATAGAAATTGTTCTATTCTCTAGTTTGGTGTAATTGTTATAGGGAAAAAAAAAAGAAATAAAACCGTCATCATGTAGGATACGATTCTAAGAAGATAGTAAATCAGTGAAAACCTGTTTATTCTGATCTTGTGCCGCTTCCTAATGACTAATAAAAATTATTAATGGCGCTAATCGTACTAAAAGGATTAAAAAAAAATTATCGCACTGATAGGATGTGAAAACGTAGTTGAGAGAGAGAAAATATTCGCGTAACAGCATCAAAACTACAATGGACCAAACTATTTGGTCCAGTTCGGATGCTGTCCAGACAAAAATTTTTCGAGATAAAGCCTCGGGCATAGCAGGAATGTATGGAGCACTTTTTGATAGGACCAACAGCATCTGAGCTACAATGGACCAAACTACAATTTGCTCCAGCTCGAATGGTGCCCAGACAAAAATTTTTCGAGACAAAGCCTCGGGCATAAAGTATATAAAGCAATTTTTGATAGGATCAACAGCATCCAAGCTATATAATGGACCAGTGTATTTTGGTCCTGTAGTTCGTATGCTGTCCAGTGGCAAAAAATTTTCAAGATGAAGCCTAGGAGGAGAGTTATGCTCAGATGAAAAATTGTATGATGCACTTTTTGATAAGGACCAACAGCATCCGAGCTACAATGGACCAAATTATATTTTGGTCCACTTTAGCTCGGGTGCTGGCAAAAAAGTTTCGAGATAATAAAGCGTCGAGCATAGGAGGAGCATATATAAAAAATTGTATAGACCACTTTTTGATAGGACCAACAGCATCCGACTCACAATGGACCAAATAATTCAAAAATTTTAATCATTCCGTTAAATTTTTCTTATCAATTATAAGTTTTAGAGAAATAAGGATATTAACATTTTTTTTTATTCATTCTATCTAATGAATAAAATATGAGAGTAATCTTGATATATATGATTATTTATGTCGGGCTACCTTGTATTTAGCGGGCGAGCGTAAAATTTCAATTCTCTTTGAAGGGAGTGAATCTTTTTACACACTTCAATCGACAGATACGGTTTTTTTTTATTATTATTATTATTATTGATTAGCGCGCGAGCCGGAATTAGTAAAAGAGAATCATGCACAGCATCTGGGCGCAGGGATTAATCGAGATGCAGGTGGATAGGAAAAGAAAAGAGAAGATGAGACTTGTACTCTGTATTACTCTCGAGACAACTCTCCTCTCTTCTTTACGACTTATTTTATATACGATGCTTTCTCGTATGCGTTTCAGAATGGGGGAGCGACTCTTCTCTCCCCATATCGCTGTTACGATCTTCTATTTTACATAGTCATTTAGAGAAAATGCCTTTCTTGCCTTCCCCACACCAAGTGTTCTGATTTCGATCCCTTTTTTTTTTTTTTTATTTTTATTATCATCATCATAATAATAACTCGTTCAGTGACGTAGAAACTTGGGGAGCAAATAATCTATACTAATTGTTTTTTTACGAAAGATTTTTTATTGGTCGGTACAACAAATCTGTATTGTTGCATTAACAATATATTACTACAATAAATTTTTAGTGGCGACTAAACAAAATTTGTTAGTTCCAATAATTTGTATATAGCGTAAATAATTGTTTCAATATAATAATGTAAGGATATATTATATATATACATATATATATATATATATATATACACGTACATTATTTCGCATGTCAGGATCAATGATGAGAATTAACAAGATTCTCCTTCACGATTTACGATTAAATATATTCATTGATCGAAAGATCGATTGCAGATCGATTTGTTAAGACAGCTATAGTATCCCACATTTGATTCTCACGGTGTAAGACTATATAATTCTGCGCTTCTTAGGTATAATTATTACCTATCCCTGACGTGTTTCGGATCTTGTTTTACAAAGAAAAGTGAGAGTGCTCATCAATTAACATATCCTGGCTTCAATTAAACATATATTCGTTGTGACTGTAAAGAAAAAAGTATCCCACGTGAAAAAGTTCCCGAGAATTGACCACCGGAAATTGTTGCGAAAATTCCTGTTGGAAATTTCGACTTTTTTGTCTGTAACTTGACATATATAAGAACTCAGTTTTTCAACATAAGTGAATTAAAATTACTGTTTGTACTGAACATTGCAGTTAGGAAAATTTTATTAAAGTCGTTTTATTTGTATTTGTAAAAGTGAACAAACAAAACTTTTTGGTTAGGAACTTATTTGGTTGCCTAACCTAACTTAACCATTCCTAACCTATATAATGAGCCAAAAGTTTTGAACATTCAAATGAACAAAATTTTTTTTGCAACTTCTTTACGTACAAATTTTATTACAAAATATTGTTTTAAATATCTAAAAAGAAGTTATTAATTTAATAATAATTGTTTAATTTACTGTTTAAATTTACATTGTCACCATAATTTTTAATAATTTATAGATTGAAAAAATATTTCGTTCATTTGAACGTTCAGAACTTTTGGCTCATAACCTATAAGCATTCCTAAGTTAACCATTCCTAAGTTAACCAGTCCTAAGTTAACCAGTCCTAAGTTAACCATTCGTAAGTTTACAATTCCTAACTTAGCCATTCCTAATCTAACCCAACCTAACTTATAACCATTCCTAAGTTAATCATTCCTAAGTTTACCATTCCTAACCTAACAATTCCTAACTTAGCCATTCCTAATCTAACCCAACCTAACTTATAACCATTCCTAAGTTAATCATTCCTAAGTTTACCATTCCTAACCTAACAATTCCTAACTCAGCCATTCCTAATCTAACCCAACCTAACTTATAACCATTCCTAAGTTAATCATTCCTAAGTTTACCATTCCTAACCTAACAATTCCTAACTTAGCCATTCCTAATCTAACCCAACCTAACTTATAACCATTCCTAAGTTAATAATTCCTA